AGTAGTTTGTATTTTTTGAATTAAAAAGAATAAAAATGAACAATAAATTACTGATAATTCAATTCATTTGTAACATGCAGGGACGGTGATCAATGGGGGACGGGTGGACACGTTCCCCTCTCAATTTTTTTTGGAAGGGATTGTCCCCCCCCCCCCTTCAAAATTTACTAATGATTTACAAATGTTGCTAACATGGCATTTTTTCATGAGCTTCGGGGGCTCTACCCCTGGACCCCACCAAGGGCAATAAGGCGGCCGCTGGATGCTCATCTGATCTTTATTCAATGCCTTAAACCCCTGAGCATATGGGGGCTCCGCCCCCTGGACCCCACTCCAATTAGTGACCTGCATGTCGCATGGCACAAATAAGGAATGGAAATATGCTCATCTGACCGTAATTAAATTGCCTAAAACACCTGAACTTCCAGGGGCTCCGTCCCCTTGATGCTCATTTGACCTTAATTAAATGCATAAACCCCTAAGTTTCGTGGGGCTTAGCCCCTGGACCCCACACCAATTTACGCTCCACTTGCTTCGCTCGCTTTGCTCTACCTGATCGTTAATACTTTAGCCCCCCTCCCCACTTTTTAAAACGTTGCCAGTGTCTGCGTAACATGTAAGAGTGGTGGTGATGCAATTTTTTTTCCTGCTCATTACGCCACTGCTCCCTCTTCCCTTGCATTTTGTCCTCCCCCCCCCCCTCCGGTCAGAAAAGACATCGCCGCCCCTGGTGAAATGTCACGCTGGTAAATCTTCTTCAGCCTTACTACCCCTAGCCTCTGGTGCACCTTAATCAGTTGCCCAGCTCAGCCTGCGTTGCCCGACCGGAGCTGTCGCTGGCTAGGCAGGCTACACCCTAGGTAAAGAGCCACATGCATAGGCCTGATGACGGTCGACGGAGATCAGGCGTTATTTATTTAGCACTGAATGAATCTGAAAGGGGCACCTCTTTTTAAATTAGATTTAAATAGGGGCCACAGGCGTACTGGGGGGGGGGGGGCGCTACCCCCCGAAATAAAATTAAACCATGACTTATTTTTAATTCCATACAAGTGATGTATAAATGTTCGTGATATCACATGATTTTCACCAAAACGGTTACAAAACATGATAACAACGTAAATTTAACCTTTTTTAAAAACATAAAACAAAAACATATACCCCCTGACAAAAAACAAAACAAAACTAAAACAAATAAATATTGTCCGCCCCCCCCCCAAAGATAGTGATTCTTCTCTCAAACACTCCCCCCCCCTCGATTATTAACCGGCATGATGAATCGCTGCTAAATATTTTCTCACGAATTTGGGGGGAAAAAAATCTTTTGCCTATTTCAAACACAAACATGTTTAATTAACATTCAAGTGTTCCAAGAGAAAGTTGAGCAACGTTTTTTGCTTAAGAAACCTGAGACTAAGGGGGATGCGGGGTGCATGCGCTCCCCCTTCCCTCCCCCACGAGCGACAAGGGGTCCTCTAAAAAACAAACAAACAATGTAAACAACTTAGGTAGGACACTGCAGTTATAAACCGTTTTGAAATTGGAAATTGTACATACAACTTGATTTTCAGACAGAAAAATGCAATAACAAATATCTACAATGGGAGGGTGGACACCCCCTTCCACACCCTCCCCCGCTTGGCCGGTTAGTGTCCTTCAAAGGTTCAAACTTACATAATGTATTCAGCCCCCCCCCCCCACACTAAAATCCTAGTTAGGGCTTGGTCCTTGATGTTAATTTAGAACATCTAATCTTATCAATTTTCGCAATGTCATAAAGTAACAATGCCAGATATGCACCTAGTAACATCAAAATTGAAAAGCTGATTCATATCAATCTTTCAGTCTCTGTAAGTTGTTAGGTATCGTTTTTAAAAAAAATCCAGAGGAAGAAAGTCAAATCTAATGCGTATTACAAGTAAACCTCGCCACTTATTGCCCAATGCTAATCCACTACATGCATACACACAAAAACCCCAAAACAAACAAACATTACAATTGATATCTGTATGAAAAAAACCCCAGATCATATCCAAATGGTTGTCCAAAAAAATAACAACAAAAAACTTGCTCTTTATTAGATACATAAATGTCAGAGTTTGCACGGCTTTCTAAAAGTTTAAAAACAAAGACTATACTTGCAGACTAGCCGTTAAGACTTATCTCTCTTTCGCGCCTTCTCTTCCCCTATTTCCACTCTAGCCATTTGCCATTTTTTTCGTATTGCCAATGCCAAACTTATATCAAGCTACTATGTCATAAATTAAAGATAAACTTGAGTTCTGGTAAAAAAGAAAATGAATTCTCACAGAATCTAACAAAACTTACACTGAATGTTCAAGATTACAAATAAATGTCATGTGCCAAACAATTTTGGAAGAAAATGTATACTGGCTGAGTAATGAGCATAGAAAGATAAGGAAATCAGGGTAGTACTAGCCCCGACACCATGTGTGTTGTCCCATATACATCTTTCTGTGTAAGATTGTTACTTTACCAAGACTCTGCCAAATTTATGATGATTTTGATGACTCCAGAACATTGCATTACACACCATTACTTACATGCTATATGATCAACTTTTCTGATCCATTCCACACCTTTTCTTTCACAATGCAATCGCATTGCCAGAACTCAAGTTTATCTTTAAGCTTTATCTATGAAGCAGCAAGTAGTAGCATGGGCACATACTTTTGACGAGGAAGAGATAAGATAATAGGCTTACTGTTGTTATTGTTATTGGCAAATTATCAGGGCGTATATTATCATTATCATTATATATTTTATATTTTTTATTAATTGTATCATTAAAAATATTATTAATCACATTTTTAGTATTTTTTCCATTATTATTATTATTATTTTTTATTATTATTGTCATTACCAAATACTTTCCTATCATGCGCACCGTGCTTTAAGAATGGAAGTCTTTGAGTAACAGAAGATGAGGATCAATACAGTGGTGGAAGGAAAAGCATCTTTTCTGAAAAATCCCAAACTCCAACAGGCCATTGCAGGGGCGTAACCAAGCTAAACATTTTGAGGGTGCTGAGCAAGCGCGTATTGGAAAATTTCTAAACCACTAAAGAAACGGAGTAGCTGTTGTTATAGCTCTTCGATCGCATATACAATGATATATATATATATATATATTATATGTGTGTATGTGTGTGTGTATGTGTGTGTAGGTGTGTGTGTTTGTGTATGTGTTTGTATTCCTAACCTTTTAAATGCGGGAAATTACATAGCTTTTTTTAAGCGAAAATAAAATAAAGTAGGCTTTTAAAAGAAAGAGAACAGCAATTGTGTCAAATCTATGACGCAGGTTTGTTCACTCCTTCTAAAATCACACACTTGTTATCGACAAAGTTCCTGTTTTCTATTTTAAAAGTGAATTTTCTATTGTGTTCACTCTCTAACTCATCATCATTATCTTTTCTCCGCTCTAGTTAGCTCGATCTTTATAAAAAAAACAACACACAATTATTTTATTCTTGTCCCCTTTTATTCTTTCTCTGCTAAATTACGCACATGATTTCTCGCCAAATGGCCTGTTCTTTCTTTAAGAGCGAACTGTCTTTTGTATTCGCTCAACAGAACTCAAGAGCGAGGTGTGGTGGAAAACACCTCTTCATTAACAGATCTTTTGTTCAATGATTTATATTTTCCCCGCCCTAGTTAACTCGATATTTTAAAAAAATGTCAAAGTTCCTGCTTTCTCTTTTAAAAGTGAACTTTATTTTGTGTTCACTCTCTAGCCCATCATCATTATAATCTTTTCTCCGCTCTAGTAAGCTCGATATTTACGATCTTTACGTGCGCTATATAAGAATCCAATATTATTATTATTATTACAAAAACACGTCACAATTTTATTTTATTCTTGTCCACTTTTATTCTTTCTTTGCTAAATTACACGCATGATTTCTCGCCCAATTGCCTGTTCTTTCTTTTAGAGCGAACTGTCTTTTGTATTCTCTCAACAGAACTCAACAGCAAGGTGTGGTGGAAAAACACCTCTTCATTAACAGATCTTTATCTTTAAACGCAATTTACCACGCGAGTGTTAGGTTATAGGTCAATCACACGAAGCATAACAAGCATAAAATATCATAGATCTGTTCTGATTGGTTAATTATGGCAAATCATGACAACCCCCCTCCCCCCCCCCCCCCACCGTACTTTTCCCATTCAAGATATTTTAGTTTTGCTGAGGAAAGCAAAATGTATGAATATTCATGAGACGTATTGGAATGTTCGATTAATACAAAGGGGCGCATTTGTACACCACTTTAAACTCCCCTAATTTCAACCAAGTATTTCATAGTATTATATAGTTTGGTATGTTTATTTTACTAACTGTTTACTCATTGAATATCAATGATTGTTGTAAAGGGCTTTTGTTGTCATGCATAGCCTATATGACGAGTGTGGCGTACGATATATTTTGGCTTAGTTTGTGACTGCTCAGCATAATTCTTGCAACAAGCTGGAACATTCTAAAAAAATTGAGAGTTTATCTGCAAAATGCACATCAGGATTAATATACGACGTAAACCATTCTATCCTGAGAGCTTCAATGCAATTCTAGATCACAATGACTGAGTTTTCATCCTAAAAGTTAACTAGTTTGCGAGTAGAAATATTCCTTTTCTCGTTATTTTAACATTCTATTTTTGCCGCCGCATACGATATGACGTCATTGGCAGCTGATTGGCTAGTTTGGTAGTGACGTCGAGCGAGCTACATATGCGTTTCAGCAGATCTAGCGAGCAATGACTGAGTTTTCATCCTAAAAGCTAACTAGTTTGCGAGTAGAAATATTCCTTTTCTCGATATTTTAACATTCTATTTTTGCCGCCGCATACGATATGACGTCATTGGCAGCTGATTGGCTAGTTTGGTAGTGACGTCGAGCGAGCTACATATGCGTTTCAGCAGATCTAGCGAGCAAATGTACCGGAGCTATTAGATGTATAAATACGAGTGTTCTGAAGTCTAACTTTAATCACACTTTGGAGTGAGCTTCAGAGGGTTGTCAAAAGGTGAGTCGCCCGTAAACTTTTAGAGTCAGTTAAAAGCAACCGAGTAAGGAACCTGCCGCAACCTGTGCTAAATGTAAGTTATCACTAAATAAGTTCCAGTTTTTCTATTTAATAATCAATATTTGATATTATATCCTACATCAGAAATTTGTTGGCTGTTGATTGGTTGAGAGCTCGTCACATGACCAGAAATATTTGACCTATTTTTAGAAACTACTATATAAGAGTACTATTTTGGTTTAATATTTGGGAGTTGAAAAAAAATGTGATTTTTTTTTTTTTTTGGTGTTAATTTAATAAAAAAGAAATTTCAAATCTTAATTTAATGAAAACAAAATATTTTAAATCTTTTTAGAGTTCTAAAATTGTTTTCTCCCAAAAATGGTGTTTTTTTTTTTTTTTTTTAAATCAATTTTTTGATGCAGGATATAAAACAAATATACCATGTCTTCTATTCGAGGTACTGGTTAAACTATGGGCCTCGGTGACTCCAAAAGTACCATTTGCTTCGGGGCTGCGCCCTTCAGCAAATAGTACTATTGGAGTCACCTCTTGCGCATAGTTTTAACCAGAACCTCTTAAGGCAGTGTATATTTGTATACTACGTACGTAGTACTCGTATATCCATTATGCAGGGTACTCAAGGCGCTCCAATATTACCCAGATCTAACTGGGTAACATCAGGTAAACATGATGAAATTCTATGTAATAGATCTTTTGAAGAATTTTCATTCAATATCTTATGTTGTTCAAAACCCTCTCATTATATTTTCCTATGCAATCTAGCTTGATTTACGCAGAGGTAAAGCATTGAAGAAAAAAAGGTTCAAAGTACGGAGAATTGAGTGCTACGATTGATTAAATTCAGTACAATTTCATAAATAGCAGCCAGAATCCCCCAACACCACTTTAAAAAAAAATTCTCGCATATTTCATTTCATTAATTATTCATTTGATTTATTTAATTGTTTATTTGCAATTAAACAGGTACGCTAGTGAGAATAATTTTAAAGACAAAATAATTTGGATAACAGATTTCGATGAAATCATTTTTAGTGAGCATTCGAGGTTGCGAATGATATTGACTCTAATGATGAAGTTGATGAGGTTCTAATTACTATGAAACTTGTATTTTAGGTACCAGGATGGCGACAGCTAAGGTGGTTTTGGTGTTTCTCCTTGTCAAGATGATGATTGGTAAGCTGTTGTTCTTTTCAATAATCTTTGTAGAGATTCAACGTTTGATAGTTGCTTGATGACAATAGTGCTAATAATAATGATAACATGTTATAATAATAAAAATAATGATTACCAAAATACATGATATTGAATTAAGAAATATTATTACTAGCATGCGTATAATATTTTCTTTGATGAGAAATCCTCATGAAGTGATCGTCGAGCAAGCAAAGTATAAGTTTTTTAAATTTATAAATTGTAGATTTTCACCCTTTAAAGTCCTTTAGATAAAATGGAGTTATTCAGGAAAACTGAAGCTGATAATTAGTATTGCATGTATACAATTATAATCGAATAATAGCAGTGAATAACCAACAAAATAATTATAGGTTTTCATCTTGCACTCATGAGAGAAAACCGCAAGAAAAAACATAACAACGTATTCTACAACCAATTGTTGAATGGATTTCGATACAAAAGATGGCCCTTTATTCAAAAAAATTATTTGAGGCGAGGAAATCTTCTTTGATATTGTTATATATCAAAAAGAAATTTAATTTAATCCATGATGAAAGAAAAATACCCTGTGTTGATCATTATCTAAAAAAAAGTATGTATTAGCTGATAAGGAGTTTCCCATTGATTTAATTTAATTTTTATTTTTAAGTTCTAAACCAGGTCAATAAACATGCACATTTGAATGTTGGATATTACACATATATATTATGTATGGCGTAATGAAACATAAAAGTGTGATTTACTCAGAATATCGGGTTATAAAAGAACTATCTGTATTTCAAATTTTTGTTACACACCGCAAATCTGGCCTTTGATTTTTATTTTTCTTGATTAGCATATAATATAAGTTGTCATATCACATACGTACACAAATGATCAGATAACCTGATGAATAAGTCACTTATGTGATCCCAAATTAATTGATGTCTTTTGCGGGATGTGCATTTTGAGTGGTAGACTATACATGTACACCTTATCAACATTATGCCAATTTTCATACTTTTATGGGGAAAAAGTACACAATGTTACGGCCGTTCCGCTGGGCGCCGGACTATAGTACTTCAATTATTTCCACAAATTTAAGCATATAAAAGCAATCTCAATGTCAATGGACCAATCAACGGTTGAATGCACTTCCCATAATCCATACGAAAGTAATTTGTCTATATTTCACGCTGTTCAAGTCCGATAGATCAGAGCTAGGAATCTGTGGCCATGGCCATGGCCTGCACTGTACACGTGCTGGACCCGACGACTACACATTCTTATGGATTTATGAGCGTAAGAATCAGCATTTGACTTGCTGTTTTTCATCTAGTAACCAATGCGATACGTCTGTGGTTCCCAAGATGGCTGTAATATAAAAAGTTTGCGTGTAAAAACGTAATTCGCTTGTACAATCAAGATCTATAAGTTCACCAGCTTTGGTTTAATAAAGTCAACGAAGACTTGAAGAAACAGCGCAGCGTATCCATGATACTCGTGTTAGCTGCGAGAAGCACTGGCAATTAACGATATGCTTGCTGCCGGACTACCATTCTCATGTAACTCATAATACTGTATTTCTATTCAATATTTCAGCCTCATCAGCGCAAGAACAGTTGGGAATGCAAGATGGACGGATCACGGACGCACAGATCACGGCTAGTAGCTGTTATGAAGAAAATTACTGCCCAGACCGCGCAAGACTCAACCAGCTAAGGGGTAAGACATTTCAGAATAGATGATTGATTGTTTAGTTGATGTATGTAATGTAAGGTTGAATTTATGTTTGTGAAGGGGTGTATGTATGTATGTGTGTGTGGGCATCATTGTGTATGTGTGTGTGGGCATCATGTATGCATATATGAGGTGAGGTCGAATTGAGGTATAAATTAAATGTGATTTGATTTTGTTAATTATATTTTAATTTGAATTACGAACTGAATGTGATCGGGATTTGAAATGGATTTGATCTGAATTACGAATTGAATCGGTTTAAATTTTAATTGTATTTAATCTGAATTGCGAATGAATTTAATCCGAACTTGAACTGAATTTAACTACTTAATTTATGAATCGAATTTTAGTCTGCATGTTGAACTATCGCATTTGTTGTTACCTATGTCCAAGTTAAATGTTCTACTCTGTACCCATATGTATCTTATTGATGTTTATAATGTGTAACCTTGTACTGACATGCAAATGAAACAAATTTCCAATCATTGGACAATAAATTTGAATATGAATAATATATAATATGAGTCGTGAAATTTAAGCCATACCCCGCCTACTAGTAGTTAAAGTGCCTTTTTGAAAGAAAATCACAAATATGGCAAATATGGCATTAACGTATCACTAGAAACTGGTAATCTAACAGATGGCCATCGTACACTTTTTAGGTCAACTAAATATCGGGTGCTTTATAAAAATACAAATAAAACCACCTCCATAGCATCTGGGATATGCGAGAGAATCGCCGGAAAAAAAACGATGTTTTAGTGCCGTCACAATATGAACCAATCCTGCCCAAGCAGACAACATCCCATAAAGAATGAACATTGAATTGCAATGCTATTATTTCTCAAATTATAATGAGTTTAGTGTATATAAATGTGATGGAATTTTACACCATTCAAAAAGAGATATGAAACCGATTCTGGTTACTAAATTCTTATGTTTCTAAAGACACAGGATAGGGGTTAATTAATAATAAAGTAAAAAAGCACTTTCAAATATTAAAAAAAAAACCGGAATAATAGCATGGCCGGCATTTGTTCCCTGTTGAAACGCTTGACATACCGCGGCGTATGAAGCTGACATTACAATGGTGTGATTTTTTTTTTCCAAGCGAAGAATTCCTTTATTTTTGTTAACCTTGCATTTTAAATCAAAATAATACCATGCGCGGGGTTTAGAGTGAGGCGATCGATTGCAAATTTAACCTGAGGGTATAGTAAAGTAAGAGAAATAACTAAAGAGAAGCCACAAAACAGGCACTGATAATTTGTGAGATGTCATGGGCCATCGTCCGCTTAATGTGCAAATCATGTTCAACATGTGACGTCACACATCTCAGCAGCGATCGGAGAGCTTTTCAGGTGCTTTGTCGGGGGCGTATTTAAGCGTTTTGTAATTTATAATAATAATTACTTCGAATGTTTCCAAGCATTGAATTTTGCTAATTAATTTTGCTTTATTTACATTAATGTAATATCACCTGGGCCGGTGTGGGGAGAACTAAACCAGAACCTCTCTATAAACTTCAAAAGAAAGCTTTAAGACAAACTTCCATTATCAAGTTCATTGACCTCCCCTGTTTTATCGCTTAAAGGGATAGTTGAGTTCTGTTTTTAGACCGCAACTGCCTTCAAAGTGCATGGTTATTGCTCTTATTATTATCTATTATTCTAGTGCCCTTTTAGAACCTAAAATTGCTATGAAGGTAATTTTAGAACCCAACATGTGTGAAATTTAGCCGATACAATCATACCAATTCAGCTCCACTTTAAAAAAACACGGTGACCGTTAATTAATTATCTAATTAAAAATAACAATACATAGGCCGGTTGGTTGTGCGTTATATAACCAACACGAAAATGCCAAGGGCATTGGCTGAAATACGACGTAAAAGGCCTTTTTACAACGGCTTTTTCAAATTATCTAATATTTGTGGTGGTAGGGTAGGTGTTAGGAATTGGAGACCGTAGGGAATTGGAGACCACCAAGCTTGAACCTATCACTGTCTGTCCGTGTTGGCTCCAATATTGCTATATCGCCATTTGTGGCCTTTAACAACACTACTGCATATATCCAATTCATTTCGAAGACTACAATGCGTTCTTTCTCCGAGAAAATTGGCAAAATTGACCAAGGTAACAAATTTTGATCGTAAAATTTTGCTCTGATATACAAACAAACAAAACTCACTGAAAGTTGTGGTGTATGCATATATCTAGGGGTGGCTCTTAAAAGTTAGTTTAAAAAGGAAATTTATGAAGTGTGGCAACCATCACATAAAACTTATGGCCAATTTGTGCTGTGAATGGGTGGTGCAATGCACATTATGAATGGTGTCTGATCAGAAATGTGTGTAGGCCATGGGGGACACCAGGTCCAAGATGGGGGTCGTTTGTTGTGAATTTCGAGTATGCCGAGGACAGTCAATAACCTGATGCTGATTGGTTAATTGTCCATGTTCAGAAATATTTTGGGCCACATTGTATTAAAATCGTTTAAAATTAAGGTAAGGTCATTGGCTTGATATATCTCTTTCAACAACAAAACAAAAAAAAATAATAAAAACGTTACTTATCACCGAAGTCTCTAAGCGCTATGAAAAGTGTCTGAACTAACTATAATAATCCCATTTTCATTCAAATTGTATTTAAAATGTCTTGATTTGGAACTGTCCCTTATTACCAACACATGTAGATAATGACAGACCTTTGGTGATGACGTCATTAATCATTGTTATCTTATGAATCAGTTACATCAAAACTTCATGTATGACGTGTAAAATTTGTCACGTTTATGTAAATTATGCAAATGTGCTGAAGGTCTCCAATTGATTGATTGATTGATTTTTATTCGACAAGCTTCCAATATACAACAATATACAATAATAACAGATCAAAAATAAGTCAGCTTGAACAGGATAACCCACGAAAGCTCGAGAGCTTATTTCCAGTGGGGTCCCTTACAGACATGTATACAATTAATAAATTAAAATAGTAATATTTACAGACAGATAAGAAAATTAAAAGAACTACTTATTAAAGATAATAATAACAACATTAAACTGATGATAGAAATGATATTAAGTACAAGAAGAAAAAGAAGAAGGAGAAGAAGAAAAAGAGGAGAAGGAAGAAGAGGAAAATAATGATGAATTTGTAGAATTTCTATAACGTACGAAAACATAAGTATATACAACATGAAAAAGTATGAACCGACAGAAGAATAACAATTTCAATCATATAACATGTCATTCACTTCTCTTCTCTGACTGTCAAGTATTAGGTATTCCTTTAATTTCCTCTTAAAATGATCATAGTTTCCTATTTCTTTTACACCATTGGGAAGGGAATTCCAATGTTTTATGGCATTGTAATAAAACGAATTTCCAATACTACCTACTCTTTCTGGTAAGTTAAAGTTGAATCGTCTATTTCTTGTATTATAATCATGTACGTCAGTAACAAGATCGAAGTTGGATCGAATATAATGATTCGCCCTAGTATGATATATTTTATGCACGTGATGCAATGCGAGTTGTTTTGATCTTTGGTCGACTTCAAGAAAACCAGCTTTAGAAAGTTCGCTATAGCCAACATGAGTTCTTGGACCAGAACAGTTGATAAATCTCACCATTTTGTTCTGTATAATCTTCAACTTCCCCACACCTACCCTACACAAGTATAAGAAATCGTTATATTTATGGATATTTTAGCCGTCTCTGAACCGATTTTGATAAAACAAAGATGATTTGTCATTTAAATTGTATGTTCTTTCAAATTTGACACTCAGTTTTTCATTATCTCACAACAAATATTTTGTGTAGCGCCCTCTGCAATAGAACTCAACCATCCCTTTAAAAACACTCACTATTTATGATATACATAAAATTCAAAGTGCTATTATGATGTATAATGTTTATTATGATTATTTACCTAAAATAATTTGCCAAATGTTTATCATTAATAGATCAGTTCATTTTAATATCTAATACTCGTTCATGTATCAAATATCATTATCCAAAGGTCTCTACCCAGATAATGCTTTACTCTTTTTGACATAATGTTCCCCGTATTTGCTTTAACTGATAAACTAACATTATACACAACTATATCATCCTTTCAGGTTCTATTAAAGAGACAGTTGGTCTCTTCTTTTTATCCCTTAACTCTTTCTTTTACCCTTTTTTCCTTGCAATGTACCATGCATGTGTGTGTGTGTGTGGTGTGTGCGTGAGTGTATGTGTGCGTGTGTGTGTTCACCGGTGAGTATCTATACTGTGTAGTATCTTATTTATATATTTGTATTGTTTCGGTAACGTGTACAATCATGTATTCTTGTTATTTATTATTTATGTCAGGGGACTATTACTTTACAAGCTTTTCAAACTTCCTCTTCAGTCTCCAAATTCTGAATTCCAGAATTTTAAGATTATGATTGTTTCATGTTACTTTGTTTATATATTATTCTATGCTGTTATCATTGAAATAAAACGAATTGAATTGAAATTGGAAAATAAATGAATTGAATAACCTTGTCCAATCAAAGTTTCACCTTTGCAATAATGACAATAAAGTTAGTTTTTAAAAACAAAATGATAACACTGCTTTTCAAATTTTCAGATGGTGTAAAGTCGGGCGCATGGAGTGCACGAACACTCAACCAGGACCAGTTCATCCAAGCAGACTTGAGGCAGTTGCATGAGGTCTCTGGGGTCATGACCCAAGGTCGCAATGTGCAATACTCACAGTGGGTGACCTCATTCAGGGTGCTGTACAGTATTGATGGACTAACCTGGACTGCTGTACAGAATGCTATTATGGCTGGCAGTAAGGTGAGCTATAGGTGGAAGCATATGAAGTCGGTATTCAGGTATCTGGCCAGTCCCCCCCCCCCCGCTCCTCTAGCAGAAAAGACAGAAAGGATAGAGGGAGAGAGAGAGAGAGAGGGCGTGATGAAAATTGAATGTGAAACAAAATATTACCTGACCCCTCTTTTGATGAACTAAAGAGATGTTATTTACAACAATAAGTCAATGTATCTACCTATTATTGGCTAGTTTCTCTACACTACGCAGCCATCGCGAACTGAAAAAGTCACATTCGCGAATGCCATACCCCAGTACATCGCCTTCCTAGGGTGACGAGCGCAAACGCACGCCCGCCACCATCCTCTTTTTTTTCTCGCATGCCGAGAGAGTCTAATAGAGCTAAGTCACTTCTGCTAAAATTCGAGAATTTTCTCCTTTTTGGTTTTGATTTGCTTTTCTTATCAATTCCATCCACCTTATAATTGTATTTATTTTGGTGGTACGGTTCCCGGTAAAATTTCTTTTACTAATATAGGCAGAAAATCAGCTTTCTTTTCTGTTTTGCAATTTATCCCTTTCACGACCGTAACGAAGACAGAGCATCTCTCCACCAGCTGTAAAGCATAGCTCTCGCCGCTTCGCTGGGCACAGCTTGCGGCGCACCTGGTTTGTTCGCGTTTGGGTTCATCTCTGATGAACCGTGCAACACTAGCTTGCGGGGGTCTGAGTGTGAAGCCGACGTCTGGCTCGGGAATTATCTCCGCGAGCGTGTCGGCATTGGGTAAGTTAGGGACCGCTGCAGATAGCGGCTCTCGGAATGACCCGGCGTCTGCCGGACTCGGCATTACATCTACTGCTGGGAACCATGATCCCAGCAAGGGGGTTATCTTTTTGCCAACTGACAAGAGTATCGTCGGACCGCCGACAACGTACACTCGAGCCCCGCTCAAGGAAGCCGTTGGTTTTACGACCTCTGACTCCCACCTCAGCAAAATCATTGGCATTGCTCCAGCCAGGGACCCATATACTTTGAGTTACACAGTCGCTCAGGAGCCACAGTCGCTCAGGAGCAAGCTGCCCCCCCGCCCCCTCGTCACAGACGGATGATTGCAGTGGCGCGGTGGTCAATCGAGCAGAGCTTCTCAAATACTTGAAGCACTTTGCTGAGAAAAGCGAATGGGCCAAGCCCCCATCCTAGCAGCTTGCCGATGGTGGTACGGACCCCTCCTCGGACCCGACGGACTCTGTTTGGTCCTTGGAATCGACTTCCCGAACCCCGACCCGGTTCAACCAGGTCCTGGTTCACCGGGTTTGGACCAAACCTCTTTGGTTCAACCCTGTCCCTTGATCGCCTATTCGGAGATCCGGATCTCACCTTCAGGTATCCAGCCCTGTTTTACAGGTACCCGATCCTCAGGATCCTGTTTCTCATACTAGTTTAGAACCTGGTTATGGTCGATCCCGGCAGGCTCAGAGCCGCCTAGCCAGAGATGCCCCTCCTCTCCCAGCTGTGCTTGGCTCCCCTCCCGGCGAGGAGACTGTGAGCTTGTGGTAGCTGGTTTCGAGGATCAGGATGGTGACTCTGTTGTTGAGTCACTAGCCAGCACGGCCCCCAACCCCTCGTGGTTTGACAGTCGACGTTCAGGATCTCCTGGAGAAATACTTGACCGGGACATTCACACCGGCTCAACCGGATGCAGCCCAGGCTTCCCTTCTCTTCAGACAAGGGACATCCTCCACGGGAATCCTCCTGACGGACGGCCTCAAGCTAGCCTCCAAGGGCGTAGCTGAACAATGGTCTACATCTGGGGCTCCTAAGAAGCGTCTCTACGCCTTCCGACCCCACGACTTGCTTGGCTTTTTTCCAACTGAAGTCATTCTCACCTGAATTTTCCTATGTGGGTTTGAGACTTGACCTGAACTTCAGAGCCAGGCCTACACGGCCAAGGATAAACGGGCAGGTGACTTTGAGACCCAGGCCAGATCTGGCATGTTGCTCACCGCATACCTGGGGTCACTTATCAGCCCCAGGGTCAGGTCTTGCGAATTTGAGATTTCCGAGTCTGACGGTATTGTGTTTGATGAGATCTTGCTCGCCTTTACAGGATATCTGTGGTCGCAGCACGCTGGGGCCGCCGTTCAGACCACGAGCTCCAGGAGGGAATTTGCACTGTTCTTGAAAGGGAAACAGCGGAGATGGCGAAGCAACTTCGCCCTCGCCAACCGGCCCAACTTTATGGACATAAGCCTAAGGCATGAGCACCTCCCGCCGCACATCAGCCCAGCGTTACCTCGCGTGGCGGCACCTATCGCTTCACATCCCAGGAGTGGCCATGGGCCTGCTCTCGGTAGGAGCTCCTTGCGGAGTGGCGTCAGACCCGCGGCAAGTCTCTGTCCAAACACAAGCAGGCCTTTTGATGGTCCGCCCCGAGCAGTGGAACACAAAGTAGGCGGGTGGCTTCACTATTTTCTTCCCGCTTGGGAAGCTGTTACCGAAGACGCATTCCTGCGCTCCGTCGTGCGAGACAGCTTCCGCATAAGACTCCCAAACCCATCCCGCACGGCGCGATCCGTATCCGACCGCCAACTAATTTGTCCGCCCATAACCAGCAGCATATCTTGGCCGAGATACAGTTGCTGCTGGAGAAGGGCGCTATAGAGGGGGTGAGAGAAAACTCATATCTGTGTCTCACCCCGTTCTTTGTGATTCCAAAAACGCTCAGGAAATTAATGATGATCCTAAACATGAAGGTCATCAATACGTACGTCCCCCAGTACACTTCCAAAGGGGAGGCTAGCGTCCATCCTGCTGGCAATCGAGCGAAAACAGACTGGGTCGTCTCGCTCGATTTGAAGGACGCTTACTTTTACATCCCAATCCATCCCCGCTCCCGGGATGCGTTATTTTTTTATGCGGCACAGATTGGGGCTTTTTTTTTAAAGGGGTCTTTATTTACAGACTAATAGTGTTCGTGTGCGTACCGTGTGCGTACTAGTAGTAGAGGTCTGTTTTTAATAGTGTGACATGTAATCCACTACCGTATGGAAAATCATTACATCAACAATTAAAATGAAATTGTAAATCTGAAGAGGAGGCAGTACGTCAATAAGGAGAACATCACAATAATTAGTCAATAAAACATAACTAACTTAAACGAAGAGAAATGTTATCTAAGCACATAGTTCGCGATGGATAAACAAACTTCTTCGCAGCGCTAATGCGCTAGCGAACATGACTAGTCTCACGTACGTGCAGACACTATTCAGAAGGGAAAGAACGTACTTCCCATAGGTTTAACACGCGCCATGCCCCAATCTGTGCCGCATAAAAAAATAACGCTCCCGGGATCCCCTGGGATTCCCCTTCCAGGGCGAAACCTTCAAGTTTCGTGCCATGAATTTTAGGCTTAGACCACCCCCCCCCCTGCGTTTTTACCTGAATAGTGTCGGCTCGCGGCCTCCGACTCTTCGTTAAGCTAGGAGACTGGCTCTGGTCAGTTGTGCCAGCTGCTCCTGGCTACACAGGAGCTAGGCTTACTAGTAAACTAGGATAAATTGGAGCTGCCCCCTCGCGTACCCCAGTGTACTTGGGTGCGGAGCTAGATATCCCGAACGAGATCGCTCGCCCCAGCCACGACAGGATTCAAACGATTTTCTCGGACGCTTGAGCCCTGCGTCAGTTTCCCTCACGATGGATGCGTTTCTTTCGGGCTGGGGGTGCCATTGCGGGAGCGAGATGGTTTCCGGGGATTGGTCTCATTTGCACACCATCCTCCATATCAATGTGCTGTAAGTGCTGGCGGCGTTCATGTCGCTCTATCGTCTCAGGCAGGCGATTGTGGGGCGCTCCGTGTTGGTCTTTTAGGGACAGCACCAAGGTGGCTGCCTATATCGATCGGCATGGCGGACTCGTTCAGCTTCCCTGAACTCTCTTGCCGCCCTGCTGTGGAGGTGGTGTCGGGCCAACAACATTGTTCTGATAGCCTCCTACATTCCCGGACAGGACAACCTGATAGCAGACTTCCTCTCTTGGGGCAAGTGCCTTCCCTCGGGAGAGGGCGTTAGACCCAGGCCATCCTCTTTTTGCAAAGAACCATTCTGTTTCCTCAGGGCCGGTTGAGGTTTTCTCAGCCTTCTCTCTCTCTGACCTCTTCTCGGTCACTGTGGAGGGCAAAGTTTGGTGCCCGGTTAGGGCATTACAATTGTAATTGGACAGGACCAAGAGTTATCGTAAGGACGACAGCCCTTCCTCATTACCCGAGAACCTTTCTCCTCTGCGTCCATTTCCAGATGGATCGTCGAGGTCATGATGCATGGAGCATCAGCACTTCCTGGGCTCTTTTTCAAGGTATTGGTCTGGAAGATATTTTGAGGGCCACCTTTTGGCAGTCTCCCAATTCTTTTACCTGCTTTTATTTCATGGACGTTCCTTTTGATGTTCGCGACTTCGTCCCTGAGAGAAGCATCGTCTGCCATAAATCCCCATTAATCCCTTTCACTTGGGACATGCCACTCGGACTTTTCTGTGCTAGTCTAGCAAATAGTAGATGGATACGTTGATTAATTGTGGTAAGTCAGAAAAATCATACCTGATTTTATTATTTACTCTTTAAATCTATATATCTACCTTATGTCGCTCCCTAAGTCCCCTATCCTTGCCCAGCAACATATCAAGCGTTGTCTCAGACGGCTTGTTAAAGAGGATGATGGCGGGCGTGCGTTTCCGCACGTGACCCTGGGAAGGCGATGTACTGATGTGGGGCATGCTCGAATGTGACGTTTTAAGTTCTCGAAAACTGCGTAGTTTAAGGAAACTAGCAAATAATAGGTAGATACATAGATCCATATAGTAAATAATAAAATCAGGTATTATTTGTTTGATCTCACATGTCATCCACCTAATGATTAATTGGAACCCCCCCCCCCCCTTTCCCCTTACGCCAGCGTGTCTTCAAAGGCTAGATCTGTTATTGTACATATTTTCACAGTTATATACTTAAGAACATTATTTTACCATTATCACTGGTCTGAATCATTCTATATCATTTTTGTTCTTCTACTAAATCGTCTATTCCATATGCATTAGTTAGTGACAACCTATTTTCCACCCGGATGTGTAGAGTCATCATATACACTGTCCTGAAGATCAACGTTAACAGCAATTTTGTTTCTCCTAGGTCTTCACTGGAAATACGGACATGGAAACCGTTGTTACAAATGACTTTTCTCCTACCGTTGTAGCTCGGTTTATCAGGATTCAACCTCTGACATGGAGGAGACACATCAGTATGAGATTTGAAATTCTTGGCACTGTTGCATCAAGTAGGTTCACTGAATCATTTTATTATGGCTGCTTTTGTTACATTTTTGTTATAAATTCAGTCAAAAAGGATACTGTGTTGGTAAAGTATATGGATGATGATAATGAAAGGGAAATAACAAAAGTCTAGATTCAAATATAATAGCGCTTTAATAATATGAAATACTGTGTCTATTATAAGCGCTTCATAGATAGTACCCAGGTCTTTGAATACACTCACAATGTGCACCATCTCCACTCCCTCGTGAGTATTCCTACCATATGGTCACCTTGAGGGCATATGGCAATTACTTTAAAAAAAGAAAGATTTTTGTCATCCTACCAGGTCCCCATTTCTCTCTTGGGTATGGAGAGGAAAATGTAGATTAATGCCATGTCGGGGATAGAACCGACGATCTTTGCATTTCAGGTCAAGTGCTAAATACTCGAATATGACACCTTGGAGTGGGGGGGGGGGGGGGGGGGCTTACAATGGCTTCTCATACACAGACAAGTTGAGAATGTATAATTCGCCACCGCAAGACAAACATTTTGTAATTAAAACACATCATTCTAGAAGCTTGTTAGAGGTATGCTTGGAGAGAAAGAGATACATGAATATTATTGCCGTGACTTATACCATCGCATCGATGCGGCTTGACAAAGGAAACATACTTGTTTTGTATTTTCTCTCTCTTCATTTAAACAGAGATTGAAGGGCTCCAGAAATCTTTGGGTATGAAAGATCAGCAAATTCCTGATAGTGCCATCACAGCCTCAACCCAGTACGATGGTAACCACGGACCAGAACGATCACGTCTGGACACTGTCGCTAGTGAGTTTAGAAAAAGCTTAATTTTGTTTGTATTTTGTTGTTGGTAATTAATACAATGGTGTTAGCTTCCCACTGGATATCAGTAATGCTGTTTTGGGATCTGCTGACAAGGCAAGGTTATTATACTGAGCTCCCACCAATATGAGCTAATGCCCTGCTGGTGGTAAGCAGATGATATGAGATTAAAGAGCTTTAATCCAGCAGTATACCACATCACTGATACCTTGAGTATTTTAATAACTGTAATCCTGTGAAGACGTCTTCTATTGACCTTTCAAAGGTCAATGGTGATTGACAGTATTTCATTCCATAACAGGTGGTGTTGGAGGCGGGGCGTGGTCAGCACTCACTAACGATGTCAACCAGTGGTTGCAGGTGGATCTCAACAGCTTCTACATCTTAACTGGAGTTATCACACAGGGTCGACAAGATGCTGACCAATGGGTCACCGCTTTCAAGGTGTCCTACAGTGATGATGGCACAAACTGGAAAATCATCCAGACTTGTGATGGATGTGATGGATATGATAAGGTAGTTATAGGTCCCGGTTATAGGCTCTACTGAAAAGTAGATTGTACATATTATGCTTCAATTACAATTGCTTCATGGTCAATGTTCTAAACTAACCAAAATTCTTAACGTCAACCCTTGGCTAATCAGTAAACCTAACTCTAACATTCACCCTCCCTAACTCTAGCCCTATATCTTTGATGATCTTTTATGAAATATCGTTCAAAGAAATTGTCGCCAGAGCATGTGTAGGAGCCTTGGTGAGAAAGCATGAAACATTTATCTAAAACATTTACTACTTGTCACTTTGTATAAATTGTGTAAAATGTTTGTTGATTTATATAGTTATTGGAGTGCTATTATGACATAACAAGACATTAAGAGGAACTAAACACCATAAAAACTGTTATGGTTTTGTCTACAGGTGTTCAATGGAAACATTGATAACAACAGTAAGATAACAACTGCGTTTGGTCGACCAATTGTTGGCCGTTTCCTACGCATTCATCCCACCACTTGGAATAGTCATATCAGTATGAGATTGGAAATTCTTGGAAAAGGACCGGTGGCAAGTAAGTTATATCTCTCAGATTATAGACAAAAGCTCTTTAATAACGCTCACTATACATGTAGCACTTTATTGTCCAAGTGACTGTTAAAATCATACAAGTGACTTGGGATCTGACCTGCCAAGTAGCCCAGATTTTAGGATTTGGTACTCAAATTAGAGAAGAATTCAACATGGTTTTGTACAAATATTGAATTTTAATGATCTGGTCTCGGTAGGGTTGTAATGTGTTTGTGTAGAAATTATAAATTCAGCCATCAGCATACTCGAATGCCTTGGTGAAAGTTGGCAGCTGTGTGTATGATAACTAGTACAACAGTTGAAGGCAATCTGGAATTTAGGTACAGACGAAAAATATTCTAACAAAACTTTAAATGAGTGTTCAAGACTACAAACAAATGCTATCTCCCAATTTTCTTTCGTTGGAAGTGCAAAATAATGAGCAAAGAAAAATTAGTAAAATAGTCCTGACCCACATTAGTTTGTTTTTTTATTTGTTTATTATTTGAATAAACTTGTCTATATGATAAATGATTCAGAATAGCTTTGAGATAAATTTGCCAATATTAGCCTATAACTTTTTTTTGTTTTTTACCATCAGGTAATCGTTTTGAGCCAATGAAACTTGGAATGGAAGATGGCCACATTGCAGACAGCCAGCTCTCTGCAAGCACATGTTATGATACGAATTCCTGCGCCGACAGGGCAAGGCTCAATCAAGTAGCAAGTATGGTCATGAACATGATGATGTTTATATGATTTGGGTTCAAATTTTTTATTATAGTGTTGTCTATTCACTTAAAATATTATTTTTTGTATTAAATAAAATATTCCAATTGTGCAAAGGCTTTGGATTCTTTCCTAAATTTTTCAATATCAAAATTGTGATGTATTTTGATATGTTAACAATGCATTTTACTGAAGAGTGAAGACCCATTAACATTGGTTGAGAAGTGGCAGTTTTATCCCTTTATTCAGTTGATTTAACTACAGTACGAATGTTTGCAAAGTCTTGAGGTATACATGTGTCTACCGTCAACTTATTACCGTATAGTTATAGCGTGAAAACATACCCCACAAGAATGATACCAAATGATTTGGGATAAAATACTCTTTCATAAAATGTTTAATAATTTACTGTTCATAGCAGATTTTTAAAATAATTGGCACTTTTCTTGGTGTAAACTTTTTTTTTTTACTCACACGGTATATGCATGATTTAATTACCTTTAGTTGATTCATGAAAGTTAACCCGTCGACTACTGAATTATCTGATTCACATTGACTTAACACAGGGACCACCAGGTTCCAGTAAGCAAAGGGTTAATACTTTCTTTCTTGAATTACTTGATGGTCGTCTGCCCACAATTATATAATTTCCACAAAACTGCGCCAGGAGTGTTATTTTTGACCGACATGGCGCATTATAAATGTTTACTATTATTATTATTATTATTATTCACATTTCAAATTGAAGTAGCATTTAAATAATATATATTTTAAGCGAGGGGTATATTAGATATATTGCATTCAGCTGGCGAATATTGCACGAGTCGAAAAGACATGCTAGCTGATTGCAATATATCTGATATACCACAGAAGAAAACCATTATTATTATTATTGTTCATACAAATTGAAAAACTGTGCTATTTAAATGATTGTAAAGGTTATTTTTACTTAGCAAATACCAGTGATGATGCACTTCATGAAACAAAAAGTGCTATGGTAGTTTTTAAATCCAACAGTGTTTCGACCAGTCTTAATTACAATTTTTGGCTTAAGTCAAATTGAAAGATGATCCAACTTTATAATACAAATTCGTTTTTGAACGCAATACTAGCAGTGCACTTTACATAATATACAGGTCTTTTGTTAAAGGTTAGTTTTTATGGCAGTCTATTGCCACGTTACAGCGATTGAAGCCAGCATGCACATGCAGCTCTTGGTCATGCGTGCAATATGGTAACAATTGATACTGCATGCTGATTTTCCATCTGTGGAATGACGTATTATACGGAGGAAAAGCAATATTGAACATGATCAAAGAAAGATAATCAAAAACACGATTTTATTCTCTGTGTAAAGGGGCCCGTATGTTTAATAATTTGTAATATTGATCAAAAAAATGCCATGGCAGGAAGATCTGTTTGCATTCAAATAAAGCTCACGATTATGTTTAATTCACTTCAGCAAGGCTGGGCGATTTTGTTGTTAAATCCACATATAATTTTATTCTTATAAGCTTTCCAATTTAATCGTCAGAGTAAAAATGGAGAGTGAACAGAATGCTTGAATGAACAAATATATATAAACAAGAACTAAAGGGTTAACCATTCAAACCTCTTTCTTTGAAGGTGGTGAAAAGACGGGTGCTTGGACTGCACAAACCAACGACAACTCTCAATGGATTCAGGTGGACCTTCTTTCTGACTTTGAACTCAGTGGGATTGTGATTCAGGGAAGATCAGATACAGATGAATGGGTGACTAGTTTCAGGTTTCAGTACAGACCAGATGGACAGGCAGCGTTGATAGATGTAGTGGATGACAATGGAGCTAATGTGGTAAGTAATTTTGATTCCCGAGTGTTGTAGCTAGTGTGTTTGTGGGTGAGGGCGGAGGGGGGGGGGGGTAAGGGTTAGATGGGGAAGGAGAATGTGGAAATATACAGACGATATGACCCATTATGCACCAAATCTGTATACCACTATACCATTGCATGGCCTTCATTGTTAATTCACATTACATCCACCAATTAAGACGGGTACGTGCCCCCCTTGATTCCTTGATTCTTGAACCACCTCAATGTCTTGCCCCATGCTATGTAGTTATGTCGTATGTAAGTTATGTCGTGGTCGAGTGGATACGTCACCGGACTGTGGATCACAAGGTCCACGGTTAAGGTCTCGCCGCGGCACTTATGGCCTTTGGCAATACATAGATCTACATTTGCCACACTCGACCAAGGCGAGGTCAATGGGTAAGTGGTAGGATTATTCCTTGAAATGCACTGTGCGCTGTTAACGCCTGCCGGAGCTAAAGCTAGGGTAATACTTTCCAAAAGGCTCTTTGGAAGCGCATATGGGCGTTATAACAGTTTGATATGCGCTATACAAGAACTGAATATTATTATTATTTCAAATGCTGATTACCAATGATGAAAAATATATATATTCGTCAGTTGCTGTCTTGCTAAAAACATAGATCTATATGTGAGTATGATTCAATTTCTTTGGACCAAGTCCATCCCACAAAACGTTAAATGTGTGACTGTATTGCAAAGTAAATAATGTAAGAGACATCACAAGTTATTCACTAAATGACCTTTATTTTATTAAAAACAGTCATTCCTAAATATTTTAAAGTAAAAAATTGCTTGTGGTGTATGAAAGATTGGCCTTATAATATATCAATTTAAAATTTAAAATTCCATTTGTCCAATATTTAAAAAAAACAAGGTCAAGTATCATAACAAGACTTGCAATATTCATTTCTTAGACCTACACAGGGAATAGCGACAGAGATAGTCCAGAGACCAACATGCTTCCTCTCCCAGTCGCAGCTCGTTACGTCCGTATCCTTCCTCAAACCTGGAATAATCGCATTAGCATGCGATTTGAGCTGCTTGGAATAAGGCCCACCAATGGTAAGGGCAAGGGGTGGAGGCTGAAAATTAAATAAAATGCTCTTTTGAAGTAATACTGTTCTGAAGTCATTCTGCAAAACAGTTGTTGAAGTATCATCAATCAGAAGAGGCAGGATTGATCATGGGTTTGTGAGACAGTTCTCCAACCGTATAATAGAAGTGGAGAATCCTCACCTTGGGATTAAGTTCCAACTTTGCTCGTCAATTATTATAGCAGAAAAAGAACGTTAAAACCAAGTACCAATGTGGTTCTTTGATTTTTTAAAGTTAAAATTATTATGTTAGGTGTATGATATCAAAATTGCTGGAAGGATTTCTGTTTCGATATACAAAATTATGAAATTCCATACGACTTCACAGTCAACTTTTAAGTGTTGCAAGAAAAATTTGAGGAACTTTTTAATACTAGTTTGAATCCCGAATTTTGATAAAAATTAGATAGAAGATTATCATGCTTGTCTAGATTGATACCATGTTGATTCTAGCATTAAAGTTTAAAATCCTCTCATGTATCATAGTTTCTTCTGTCCCCGGAAAGATTGGCATAGAAGATGGTCGCGTAGATACTACCAGTCTCTCTGCGTCATCTTGTCACGACAACTATCACTGCGTCGCTCGCTCTAGACTCAATCAACCACAAGAGGGCGTTCTAATGGGAGCCTGGTCAGCATCCGTGAGTATATAGGTTACATCCCACCTTCCTATCTCTCAATATTCCAAAGCTACATGAACTCTCAGGCTTTTGTAGTGAGCGGACTTAAGTATTGCTTTCCCATATGTTCATTTGTTTTCCTTTGTGTAAAGTATTGACAATTTAACTGCATACATGTACATGAGAGAAGATATGTTAATGGAAAGTCCAAAAATAGATTGATGGAACTTCATGTGCCAATCACACATTCATGGAGATGCATTGATAGCATCATTTCTTATGCAAAGCTGCCCATTAAGCCTCACTTTTGTGTCACAGGTGTAGAACAATCATGTTTCATAATTGTTTGTGATGAAAATGAAATAACCACCTCATCCATAATATAGGATCTGCATATTTACATTACCTGTCAGAGAGTATGCCTGATCATATCGACCATATATAATCACAAGATCAGTTGGTTCAATTGGTAAAGTCCGGCCATGCACTCATTGTGATGTGCTCTATTCCACAGACGAATGATGTGAACCAGTGGATACAAGTTGACCTCCGGGCTGCATTTGAGGTCACCGGAGTCATTACACAAGGCAGAAAGAGCTCTATCTTTCGCCAGTGGGTCACGTCTTATCAAATCTCCTACAGCATCGATGGCAAGGACTGGACCTTGGTGAAAAACTGTGATGGAGGACCAAAGGTGAGACTGTTTTAAACATCATTCAGGGACAGAAAAGGAGATAGAGAGAGAAAGAGAGAGAAATAGAGAATGAGAGGAAGAGCAAGTGAGAGAAAGAAAGACCAAAAATAGAGGGATAAAAAGCAGAAAGGTAGAGAGGTGGAAAAAGAACAAGGAGCAACAAACACGTGTACATTTATATTTCTACTCATGACAACTAAGAAATGAATGCTCCCCAGGGAGTGGAGAATGTGCATGCATTGTGTGCGGGTAAGCCTGAATCCTATGACCGGGGTAATAATATATATATCTGTAAAGCGCTTTGAGAGGGCCTTCGGTCCTGAAAAGCGCTATATAAGAACTAGCTATTATTATTATTAATGAAGATCACTAGAGTGAAGCAATCTGCGTAATGACATACAATACAAAACTTCAAATCACAGCTATCCGGTATAGCCATGCTCTCGTGTTTCATTATGCAAGTTCCAATCAAAGAATTTAATTTAGAAAATTGAATTATAAAGAGTTGGGATTGATATCAAGTTGCGATCTTTCAATTGAAATCAATTATTCCCACTATTATTATTATTATATTGTTACATTACAGATCTTTCCTGGTAATTCTGATGGAGATAGCCTAATTGAAAATGGAATCAGCCCACCTGTGGCAGCTAGGTTCATCCGTCTCCATCCTGTAACTTGGTACAGCCACATCAGCTTGAGATGGGAACTCATTGGACAGGGTCCTGTTACATGTAAGCTCAAGAGACTTTTATTATGAAGATTATTATTAAGATTAATATCATTTATTTGACGCTTCACCAAATTACAATACAAACAAACAATTTAAAAGTGAGTAAGCATAATTACTGAATTTGTTTCGTAGATCAAATAAAATCACCTCTTGGAATTTGTGCACCTGAGCAGGCGGCATGGTAAAGAATAGAACAACTTAACAACCATGGCCTGCCGTTATTCCAACACGTAGTCGAGTCCAAGTATCTAAACATATCCAGGATTTGTTTAGAACATACAAAAGTATTGCGTTAAAATTGACAAGTGAGAGGTTTGAACATGATATGTAGCAACATTGAGATCCAGAATGTAAGATAGATGCAGGGATAAAAAGAGAAAGGGAGAGCAGAAGAAGGGAACTCCTAGAACCTGCAAACAGCTTAACAAAATAATATAGGGACCCAAGCGTGAGAGCCTCATTACTTGTCCTCTTTGATGTAAACTTAACGTTGACTTATATTTTTTTTAATTGTTCTAAAAATGTTGAAAACTTATTCGAATGTTTGCTTCATTCATTTGTAAGGTTGTATGGCACTTAACATGTGTTCTACGCAGATACTTGTGTGATCATTTATACGTGAAATATCCTGCCTTCCTTAAACCGCAGCGGTGTTCCATGTCGTGTGTGAATTAACACAAAATAAGCCAAAATTGATCACTATGCATGCATATCACAGTGACAGGTTTGTCTGAAAAGCTTGGACTCGAGGACTACCGCATCCCTGATGGAGCCATGACAGCTTCTACGCAGTACGATTCCAACACTGGCCCACGTCGAGCTCGGTTAAATCTTCCAGTGACCGGAGTTCTTAAAGGCGGCTGGTCTGCACTCGCCCTGGACCAAAGTCAGTGGCTTCAAGTAGACTTGAGGGGGACCTATCGTGTAACGGGAATCATCACCCAAGGGCGGGCTGATGCTAACGAGTGGGTCACCAGCTATAATGTGGCTCATAGCTTGAATGGAATTAACTTCAACATCATTCAAATTGCTGCCTCTCAGCAAGAAAAGGTACAGTACAACAATAGCCTTCCCTCTACCTATCACACAATAGAACATCAATGGAGATCAATTACTATTGACATTGTTAGAGCAGAGGGGAATATCACTGACTTCACAACATCGTCACCCAAACAGATCTGTAAAGCAAAAAAGAAATTTCCAGTTACAAGCTGCATAAATATTTGTGGATCCCTGGTACTAAAAGTATCTGGATAACTACTCCAAGATTACCATCCTAAAACCACTCAAGGACAACTATCTGCCCCCCTCAGAATAATTTTCACTTAGAAAACGACAACGACATAATTGCTTTAGGCAAACTCTTTCCTCCCTGACTACCCTCTTATTGATATACATCCATTGCCCTCCTACCAGGGGTATTGTAGGAATTGGGGTAGATGTCTAAGCATTATAGCTAGGTCATTGATCCTCCCGTCTGTAGGCATACAGTGTTGACATTTTTTTCCTCGAAATTATTTCATCCATACCATTCGAAGTACTCTTCGTACTTGACGTTTCTTCGGGCCTTCACTGGAAATAGTGACCGAACCACCCAAGTGACCAACTACTTTTCCCCTCCATTGACTACTCGTTTCATCCGAGTACTACCCACTATGTGGTTTGGACACATCAGCCTGCGTATGGAACTCCTTGGAGCTGGACCTGTTGCAGGTGAGGGATTGAAGGTTTTTATGAAACATGCTCTGATGAAAATAGCACTTTGTCAACCAAAGTCCTTATTTCAACCCCATAAATAATCGAACACCTAATACCTAACATTCAGTAGTAGCTTGAACCCTACCACTTATATGGCATACAGTCATGTGTTCCCATACCAAAAGGGTTTTTTTAATGTTGTTTGTTTAGACACCATTCAAGGGATGGCCGCACTTACCTCTAAAGTAGACTGGTTCGACATGCATCCATATATATCCACAGATGTTTTAAAACATGGATAAGTCTCCTACAATAGCTTTTGATTCCCTTTCAACGCAATACATCTACCTGTAGAACATAGAATGCTTTGCTTGTGTATTAATGAGCAAATATCAAGTAGTTGGCTCGGTGAGGGCCTTACACTTTTCTACAAGTGACCTCTATCTGATCATGCCCAGATTGTAACTACAGACTGGCTTATTGGATGTCCATCTGATTGGACCATTCACCCATATTTGCCTACTTGACCACCACTTCCTATATTTTGCTATACATTATCATGCATTAACTTACAGCCATCTTGAAGGACCATGTCCCTCTGGGCCTAGAGAGTAATGTCATCCCAGATTCAAGTCTGACAGCTTCCAGTGAGTTTAATGCTGACCAAGGTGCAAAGAGAGGTCGTCTTAACCTGGCCCGAGTCGGGAGCCTGCGTGGAGCCTGGTCTGCACTAGTAAACAATGCCAACCAGTGGATCCAGGTAAGAAAAAGAATCTTAAGGCCAATTGAGACACGAAACATTTAGGCAATCCCTATTTCATATCATGGATTCATATCCCACCGCTGCCACCATATCATTAATGAAAGAGTCACCATTCATTTATATGGTATGGATTCATATGGCAACGCTGCCACCATGTCAGTAATGAAAGAGTCACCAGTCATTTATATGGCATGGATTCATATTCCAACGCTGCCTTCATGTCAGTAATGAAAGAGTCACCAGTCATTTATATGGCATGGATTCATATTCCAACGCTGCCACCATGTCAGTAATGTAAGAGTCACCAGTCATTTCTGTGGCACCATTAACTTACACTGTTAAAATTGTTTTTATTAGCCACTTTTTGAGGTGACATATGGGTTCCTAGATTTTCTCTCCTCTCTGTAAGTAAAGCTACTATAACTTTGCCAAAGTTCCATGATTCTTTACATCCAAGTCAGCACTTATTTCTTTTTAAGGGCATTAATATAATTGTTTGATATTACTAAGAAATTAGTGTATATTGTTAACAACCATAATACAAGCATGAATTTGGAGAACTTCCTATTTAAATAATTCCGTTAGGGGGAGTCCAGCTGTATAGCCAGGAACATGGGGTTAAAATAAATCCAAGGTAATGTCATCGATAGGTGCAAAGAAAATAGTAATTCTTATTACTGTAAAAAAAAATCATATATATTTGTCACATTTTAAAACATGGTCATTGGTTAAACATTTTGTCATAGAGATTACAAAATTAGATGATTACGAGGACGAACATCAAGAATTCTTTCTCCAATTCTTTTCTTTTTCAAGGTGGATCTTTTGGATCCTTACCGTATCATATCAGTTGCAACTCAAGGGCGTCAAGATGAAAGCCAGTGGATAACAAGCTACAAGCTGGCTTGTAGTACTGATGGCACGACCTTTGACACCGTGCAGGGCATCTGTACAAACCCTGGAGCTGACAGGGTAGGTTTTTCCTCTGAGTTTTCATTTTAAATATGACATTGACTCTATTCTTAAAGAACTTTGATGAATTTTGATATCGATTTGAAAACGTTTCGATTATTTTTATGTTATAATCATTCTGTTCAAAGAGAAAGGCAATCGTTACCTCAGGAACAGAGATACATGATAGGTGTTCTATTTACTTTTCCATAGACACAATATATAAGAGGAAATAATTATTAGGTAGGATTGAACAACTGTCTTTTTGTAGATATGCTTAAGCAAGAAATGCTCTGCAAGCAAAAAATCTTCATTCCATTTCAATTTGTATTTCTTTTCTTTTATTTCCATTTTATTTCTAGGTGTCTCAGAAATTGATGTAACCAGAATATAAGTTCATATAGAAACAAATGGATAGGTACTGTAGATGCAATTTTTGTCTTCTTTTCTTCAGCATGCTTAATCAGATTCTCTTTAGTTCGATTGCAATTAACTGCAGAATCATTTGAGTCATAATTATCCAAAAGAGGATTGATTTTCCTTTTTCATTGAAGATCTTCACCGGTAATGTTGACCGCAACACCATCGTGACCAGCACTCTGCCCGTGCCTCAGGTCTGCCGCTATGTCCGCTTGATGCCTGTCAGCTGGTCCGGCCAAATCAGTCTTCGTATGGAGATCTACGGAGAAGGCCCTCTCACAGGTCAGTTTTAAAACGAGTGTTACTCGTACATTTTTTGCTCCATCTTCAATTTCTCCGGCGACAATTGCTCTGGGCAATTTCACCAATGATAGAGGTATAGTGCTATGGTTATCATTGTATTTTAGGTTAGGTTCAAAGTTAGGGTTAGGTATAGTCCTTGTTCAAGGATTGTAGTTAAGGTGTCGGTTAGCATATGATATATGGTATTTGGTGTAGTGGGTTGTTGGATCTAAGAATTAGTTTTGTAGAAGGCAATTGACGTATAAAGGCGGGGTTCCACATTATTCTTTTTAGAGAGGGTTGAGATTAAACTTTTGAGGATCTCTTTGCATGTACACCAGTCCCCAGAGGGTAAATTTTGGACAGTGTGCACCAGACACCTGTTAAGGTCAAGTTCAACCAGGTTTTTTAAATTATAGATATCTGATGGGAATGGGGGAGGCGTACATTGCCCTAGGAGGTAGAAATCCTAAAGAGATAGATGTCCAGAATCAATCGCTATAGGGATATTGACTTAGGGGATAGAAGACAAAGTAAGAGTAGTCTGTGGGGATTCGTGTCCAAGGGTGCATCATTCTAGTTGGTAGGTTGAATTGAATTGAGTTGTCCAGGTGATGGCAGACCAAGTCAGAGTAGTCTGTGTGGATACATGTCCAAGGATGCATCATCCTAATGGTAAGTTGTCCAGGGGATGGTAGACCAAGTCAGAGTATTGTGTGGGGATACATGTCCAAGGGTGCACTGTCCTAGTGGATATGTTGCCCAGGGATAGTAGACCATGTCAGAGTATTGTGTGGGGATACTTGTCCAAGGGTGCACTGTCCTAGTGGAAAGGTTGTCCAGGGGATGGTAGACCAAGTCAAAGTATTTTGTGGGGATTCATGTCCAAGGTTGCACTGTCCTAATGGATAGTTTGTCCAGGGGATGGCAGACCAAGTCAGAGTAGTCTGTGTGGATACATGTCCATCGTGCATCATCCTAGTGGGTATGTTGTCCAGTAAAAGGGGTTCTTGTCTGAATCCAGAACATTCATTTCCGAAAGAATTTTAAACTACTGCGAATCATAGCTGTATTCTACTTTGTACTTTAACTAGTAAAGACTACTGTTTACTGTATAGACAGTTTGTGGTCAATCTAGTTCATTAATTTATCATTCATCTATATGTAAACTTTGAAATATTTTAAATGTCTGTTTATTTTTTAGTGTGAATGGTCCCCATAGCAGACCTGATCAGAAGACTCAATTGATGGAATTATACCTGACGATGGATATCATTAGCAATTTCATTCATTAATTAAATGGATACAGTAAGATGTAGAATTTTTCTGAACTTCAATCTATTCTTTCAAGGGTTTTATTGGGATATGTATTGTTTTCCAGCATAATTTGTATGTCATTTCTGTAAAGGTAGTCTAGTACATTAATGACATCCGGGTCCTTATATTGTTCTCAACATATAGTTTGTTTAATCATGTCTTACATTGTACTACCCTTATATAACTTTTATTATTGTAATATGTTTTGTATTGTATTATGCTATTATTGCAAATTATGTCCTGAAGTATGTTAAACTTTAACTTATGTGTATTTTACTTTCTTTCTTAAATTACTTTATGGTCGTATGCCCACAATTATACAATTTCCACACAACTGCGCAAGGAGTGTCATTTTTGTCAGACATGGCGCATTATAAATGTTCACTATTATTATTATTATTATTATTATTATTATAAGCATAGTCACAAAGTATATATACATATCTTGTGAATTCAAGATGTAAAGATTAAATGAAGATCAGTCTTATACAATTTGGGAGATGTAACGACGTAACATTGCAATAATATGCAATCGAGAGTGTATTAATTATTTTGTGATTTTGATGTTTGTGTTTACAGCTTTTTAAATAATGATATGCCAAGTTGACAGACATGGCCAAGTCTTATTGACGGTACTAACAATTTGACACATTTGTCACATTGTTAGTATATATCATCAACCCTACCTTACAGTCGATACATGCTGTCAAAAGACCAACATTTAACAAGTGGACAATTTCAAGTACTTAGGTGTCATTCGTGATGAGCAAATTAAATGAAACATTCACACTGAATATTTTGGGACAAAATATGACAAATGGTAAGCTTTCTCGTTAGATTAAAAAGCACCTTGAATGAATCTAAATTAAAACTAGTATTTAATGCAGTTGTTCTTCCCCACATGTTGCATATGGTTTGGCCTGGAAATATTGAACTAGAAGATAACAAAGGCTCCAGAATCGTACTGGGCGTTTAATTTTACATATCAATCGTGACTCTTATATACACAATTCTTAACTGGGAATCGTTACACGACAGGTGAAATCAGCATTTGCTAACTTTAAATCACTTAATGGGATAACCCCTGTTTACATTTCAGAGTTTTTTAGTATCTCTGTGCACGAATATCACTCACGCTTTGGCGGAAGACTATATACGCCTACGCCAATACTGTATTTTTGAAAAGAACTTTGAAGTCTAGAGGAGCTATGGCTTTGTATAATAGGCTCCCTGTAATTGTAAGAATTGCGTCAACTGTAAGTTGTTATAAGCGTAAATTAACGTTGTTCCACTCACATGCTCAATCACCCAGACCTTTATAATTAGACCTATTCCAGACTCGGGATTTTGTATGCTGTGTACCGGAGGGGGGGGGGGGGGACGTTCGCAGGCTTTTTAAACAACTTCCATTTTGTAGAGTTTAAGCATTTATAATTGTGTGTTGTGCCTTCTTTTATATCCTTTAATTTAGCAATTAATTATGCGTCATATTTGACATTTATATTATGCTTTCCGGACCTAATGGAAGACCAGTAGTGTCGTGCCTGGCACAGCTGAATATGGGCTATCCAGCCGTTGCTACTACTACTACTACTACTACTATTGAGGGCATGAGCTCAAATGGTCTCTGTAATATTTGTATCATTCTTTGTCTTAGGTAATATTCTATTGTGGAGGGTAAATGGCATATATACTCCATATGGTACTGTACGTACTATCCTTCTAATAAATCTACTATTCAATAGAAGAGAACAGACTTTTCCCGTTTTCATTTGTTTCAGTACTTCTCTTTTTCCTTAGTCTTTAATCAAACCTTGAAATATATACACGTAAGAAATTAAACTTTTCATATTCAGTAAGATGAGTTATCCATTTCCACAGTTACATAATTATTTCATTACTCCATGGTCTAGATTTACCCCTGTGAGATTTTAGGAATACAAAGCCTCTTTATGGTTAATTGGTTTTCAAATTAAGAGCATTATTACTTACATTTGTTTAAAAAAGAAGATAAAATTTGGTAGGTTAGCTGTGGGTAAGTTGTTGGTGATGGTGTACAAGTTGAAACAGTAGGAACATATAGGCTACAACTACACATAAGGAGATATCCCCAGGATCCAAAATTTCAAACTTGGAATATCGCAAGTGTGTCTTGTTGTACACTGTTGTAAACATGTAGGCATATGCAGGTGCAATCCAGTGCTATGGGCCAAACACAACATATGTGCACGGGTGTGAGTGAGCGTGTGCGTGAGCGTGTGGGTGAATGTGTATGTGTGTGTATCACTCTCAAGATGTCATTAAAAACACACAAAACTAATCGCAATAAAACACCGTTGGAAATAAAATCACATGTCATCTGCTGATTTGTTTTTCTTTTTAATTAAGATATCTTAACAATCCTATTAAAGTCGTATCAAATCAAATAAGCATTTAAAGAGAAGGTTCATTGATTTTAAAAACTAACATTATTGTCATTATTGCAAAGGTGAAACTTTGATTGGACAAGGTTATCAAAAATCAATGCTTGGAAACATTCGAGGTAATGATTATTATCAATTACAAAAACGCTTAAATACAGCCCAGACAAAACACCTGAAAAGCTCTCCGATTGCTGCTGAGATGTGTGACGTCACATGTTGAACATGGTTTGCACAAGCAGACGATGTCCAATGACATCTCACACATTATCAGTGCCTGTTTTGTGGCATCTCTTCAATTATTTCTCTTACTTCACTATACCCTCAGGAAAAATGTTTAATCTATTGCCTCACTATAGACCCCGCGCATGGTATTATTTTGATCAAAAATGCAAGGATAACAAAATAAAGGAATCCGCCGCTTGTAAACAAAATAAGACGCTATTGTATTTTCAGCTGCATACACCGCGGTATGGTCGGCGTTTTAAGAGGGAACAAATGCCGCCCATGCTATCATTTTAATTCGAAAGTGTGGTTGCTTTGATTAATAATTAACCCCTATCCTGTGTATTTACAAACAAAGGAATTCATTTACCAGAATCAGTTTCATATCCCTTTTTGAATGGTGTAAAATTCCATCACATTTACATACACTAAACTCATTATAACTCAATAGTAGCATTGCAATTATGTTTATTCTTTATTGGATGTCGTCTGCTTGGGCAGGATTGGTTCATATTGTGACGGCATTAAAACATTCTGGCGAATCTCTCGCATATCCCAGATGCTATGGAGGTGGTTTTATTTGTATTTTTATAAGTCACTCGATATGTAGTTGACCTAAAACTTGTACGATGACCATTCTGTTAGCTTACCAGTTTCTAGTGATACGTTATTCGACATTTGTGATTTTCCTTGAACAGGCACTTAAACAGTATCATAAATTTGTATAATAATATTAGGATGCTAAAAAAGTTTGATATCATAAATTGTATTTACATGTATAGTCTGACTGCCTCAAAAGCCTGAAAATATTTTCTTGCAAAACTAGTACTCATCATAATGTTTATGAACTGGAGACAGAGTTCTCGTAACATTTCACTCAACATGGTTTGTAAAGAGGAGAGATTGAGCAGAACTAAAACTTCTATAAAAAACTCAAAGATTGGTGAAGAAGAATGAAGGAGCATTTGAATAAAAGCGCATGAATCAATTTCATGGAAACAGATTTCGAGCAAGACAGATCAAAAGGAGAAGATAAACATGAAACGCATAAAAATAAAATGTTGGAATGTAAGGAGAAAAATAGTTAATCTCTTATTACTTTCATATATTTAATGTGCATTTATTAATGCACCTATAATTGAAGAATAATATATTCTCGCAATTTGTTTCAGGTTACATTAATCCAAAGCACCATGTTTCATACCTTTCATTTAATTCAGGGAAAGGAAAGTGACAAAATTTGCTATTCTCCAAGGAGAAATTAATCCAAGGATCTTAAGGTAGAAAAGACACACATGGAGGCAATCCAACGTGGCTTCCTCTTGTCTTCTCTTCAATGACACAAACGAGGCACGTCCATGCTATAAGTAGCTCTGTGGTGAATTGCATACATCGGCCCTTGAAATCTATATTAGCCATGAATGCAACATGACATCATATTGTATCACAAATATCACCCTAATTCAATTAATTGATCCTCACATAATCCCATTTCCAGGCTTTATTCGTAATCCCTTCACAAAAGAGGAGTTAAATAATGATACATACATCGTTGCATACTGATAACAAATGGAGAATAATCAATAGATGTATATGTATAAATATCATATATATATATTCTTGCACATCCCGTATCAAACTATTTCTGCACGGTAGTCTCTACTATTCTGAACACAAAAGAACAAAATATGCGCTATACATATACAAAAATATATGCACAAATAAAAACAAGACTGTGCACTATTACCATGGGTACATGACGTGCTATAGTAAATCAGATATATTTACACTAATGCCCATACAGTACACATAATTACATTACAATCGTCATTTCCATGGAGTACATTGTTTCCTCTTTAATATAAGGTTAAAGGAAACCTCACCCCAAATAATAAGTGTAGATATTTTGAAAAATTAGATGTATTCCTGCCTATTGATGTAAAATACTCCTTACGAAATTAAACAAGCGATATATAAATGAAGATATTATTGACATGATGTGATACCTTTAAGCATGACATGGGCGCAGCCATTTTCTTGAAAGTGTGACGTACCAGGTGAAGGTCGACACTATATGGGCTCCAAGATTCTTTAGCTAGCTAAACCTGCACATGCGCGTACATGGTAACCGTTAGGGTTAGTGATAGGGTTATACGTAAGCTCATTAATAATAATGAACGAATCTTTGAGCCCATATAGTGTCGACCGGAGAAGTTGTACATGTATCATGCACCAAGCTTTTGTTAGAAATACTTTTCAAATCAATAACGAAACCTTTACTTTTCATTAAAGAAAAATCATAGTTGAGAAGAGAGAATTATATTTGGTAAAAAAATATAAGAGGGGAAAATTTCTAACTAATTCATTTAAAAATAAAAATACAGCAGTTGATAAATCTATTCCATTTATGAGAAACCTTCACCCCGAAAAAGCACCAAGTTATTTATGCAATTTGCGTTCCGGCAATTGTAGTACAAAGGATATAAGGGACTTTTAGATTTGCGTGGACTGATACGTGGTACTTCCATTCACGGCAGTGCTTTAAAAGGACGTCGATCGTAGCATAGACCTTATGGCCCGAATTCACAAAGCAAGGTTTGAGCTCAGACCAAGGTTTGACCTCAAACCTCC